CACACACACACTCATTCACTCACTCACACACCCACACGCGCTCAATCACACACACTCACTCACACACACACACTCACTCACACACACTCACGTCACTCACACACCCACTCACTCACTCACTCACACACCCACACACACTCACTCACACACACTCACTCACTCACACACCCACTCACTCACTCACTCACACACCCACACACACTCACTCACACACACTCACTCACACACTCACACACACGCTCACTCACACACTCACACACCCACACACACTCACACACACTCACACGCGCTCACTCACATTCACATTCACACACTCACACACGCTCACACACACACACACACACACTCGCTCAATCACACAACACACGCTCACACACACACTCACTAACACACACACACTCACACACACACTCACACACACTCGCTCAATCACACACACACGCTCACACACACACACTCACTCACACACACACTCACACACTCACTCACTCACACACACACTCACACTCACACACACACTCACACACACACTCACTAACACACACACTCACACACACACTCACACACACTCGCTCAATCACACACACACGCTCACACACACACACTCACTCACACACACACTCACACACTCACTCACTCACACACACTCACTCACTCACACACACACTCACACACTCACTCACTCACACACACACTCACTCACTCACACACACACTCACACACTCACTCACTCACACACACTCACTCACTCACTCACACACACACTCACACACACACTCACACACACTCACTCACACTCACACACACTCACTCACACTCACTCACTCACACACTCACACACACTCACACACAATCACACACTCACACACCCACACACGCGCTCACTAACACACACGCTCACTCACACACACACACATTCACACACATTCACACACACACACTCACACGCGCTCACTCACACACACACACACTTACACACTCACCTCACACACACTCACACACTCACACTCACCTCACACCCACACACGCACTCACTCACTCACACACTCACACACACACACTCACACACTCACACACACACACACTCACTCACACACACACTCACACACACACTCACACACACACTCACACACACTCACTCACACACACACTCACACTCACTCACTCACACACCCACACACTCACTCACTCACACACACTCACTCACACACCCACACACGCGCTCACACACACTCACACACACCCACACACTCACTCACTCACTCACACCCACACACGCTCACTCATACACACACTCACTCACACACCCACACACTCACTCACTCACCCACACACCCACACACACGCTCACTCACACACTCACACACCCACACACACTCACTCACACACACTCACACACACCCACACACTCAGACACTCTGTAACACACTCACACACACCCACACACGCTCACACACACTCACACACTCACTCACACACCCACTCACTCACTCGCTCACTCACACACACTCACTCACACACACCCACACACACACTCACACACACTCACACACTCACACACACACTCACACACTCACACACACGCTCACACACACACACACACGCTCACACACACACTCACTAACACACACACACACTCTCACACACACACTCACTAACACACACACACTCACACACTCACACACCCACACACACTCACACACACACACGCGCTCACTCACACACTCACTCACACACTCACTCACACACACACCCACTCACTCACACACCCACTCACTCACACACCCACACACTCACACACCCACACACGCGCTCACCTCTCCAGCCGGGCTCCCACCACCACCTCCTTGAGCTCCACGACGTTGGGGTGTTGCAGGCGGAGTAGCAGATTTATCTCCCGCATGCTGCTGATGGGCAGACCTGGTTAACACAAGACAAAGATCCCCCGTATAGCCTTCAAAGACTGTCGGAGCAAGTGTGTTTAGCGAGTACCTATGAAAGCCGGCACCATGGCACACGAGGGAGTGGGTAGCCAAACCATTTCCTTAGAGCCTAGTCTCACATGGTGTTGGACCAGATGACGCCAAAACGCGCACAACTCAAAGACAATGCACCATCAGAGTATGAGAGCTCGGGGTAAAGCATTTACACCATTGGAACCTCATTTGCCAGTAGCAAAATATGATAATTGGTTTTTTACCCTTTTATCTGGCAACAAAACTGACACCTTTTTTTACAAGGAGTCATGTTTGCATAGACCACAATACCTGCGGTCGTAATTCAAACAAAAAACACAACTCTGATAATGTATGCACTGTCCTTGAAGTTGATTGGTCTACACCCGAGACAGCTTTCCTTAGAACCTAGTCTCACATGGTGTTGGACCAGATGACGCCAAAAGGCGCACAACTCAAAGACAACGCACCATCAGAGTGTGAGAGCTCGGGGTGAAGCATTTACACCATTGGAACCTCATTTGCCAGTACATTATCAGAGTTGT